CACTCTTTATTTCTATCATCTAAAATCTCATTTATTAACTTTTGCACATATTCACAACACTCCTTATATCTCTCCACAATCATAATTTTCATCACTCCTAATTGTCGTGCATACAACATAAGAACTAACTCTAATTTTCTCCTACAAACACCTTCCTCGTGGGATCGATAACTTTTTATACTATAACTTGATTAGTTGTGCACTTGTAATTTTTGGTATATGTTTATGCCGCATCAAGTTTTTGGCGTCGTTGCCGGGGAAGGTGCTTAAGTAGGATTTTAATTATTTTGGTTCTTTAACTGGTGTGTTAACTTGTGGAGGAACTGCTTGGAGCTTGAAAATCTTGGATTGGAGATCAATAACTTGAAGATTTGCTTGAGGTAAGTCTTCTATCTAGTATTTTCAATTCCACCCACTAGTTAGTCTTCTCAATTATAGACAAGTAGGACTTTTAAAAAAAATATTTTCGTCAACCATAATAAAATTCACCTCCCACTTGAATAATTACTAACAAGATAATAAATTCAAACGATATTCCCCATTATCACAATTGTTTGATTGGTAACCCTAATAATAAAAGATTTATTTTTACTATTCTTTTTAGTCACTTTTAATTTCTAGGGTTGCATTGCATATAATAGTAGGAATTCACCAAAGTGATTTGAACATCTTGATTTAGCACACACTTAAAAATATTCTTAAGGGCAAAACCCCCTAATTAAGATAAGGTGAGGGATTTCATCACCATTTTCTTAGACCGATCACTAATTCCTCACTTCACAAACTCAAGCCTCTTTACAATTCATTAGACATTGACCCCTAAGGACTTGAGCTCATTAAGGAACAAGAAATCCCTAAGTGAACCGGTTCAAGTTTTCTTGAATTAGTTAGTGTCTAAGACAAGGTTTAGGGGTTGCGTAAAGCGCTCCGCAAGGAACGAGGTACTTAATTAATCTTTGATCTCCCTCAAGTATAATCCTTACCTGGCTAACTACCCGGGTAAAACTTTAATCTTTTCACTTTAGAAGTTTTTGGTTAGGAGCTCGTCTAGTTGAGTTAGGCTTAGCCCTAGAGTTAGAGTGGTAAAAGTGATTGCTTTTGATTTATTTTAGTTAGAATTTTCCTTTATTTCTTCTCATAATCTAAAAAAACCTAATTTTTCCCCTTAAAAATTTTTATAAAAAAGGAAGTTGTTTTGGTGTATGCGAGTGTGGATTAGGGATAATACACATCAATTAATTCGTTTTGAACCAATCAAAGGCATGGCCTATCCTAATCTACCAGTTCTTCGAGATACATGTTATCAGACAATACCAAAAAAAAGAAAAAGATGAGCCTGATTTTAATTTAGAGGAAATTTTTGGTGAGGAGCTAAAAATTTTAGAAGAAGTAGATCAGGTTTGTCAAAATAAGAAAACTGTGCTAAACATTTGCTGCTTTGAACTGAATTTTGAAGAACTCTTTCTTAATGAACTTAGATTTTTAGAAAGTAAACAACCACATTTTCATACCTCAACCTTGAATCTTGGGGTTGAGGAAGTTGTTAAAAAAGAATTGGTTGTTAGAAAACAAAACTTCACAAATAAAAGTCAAGTTCAATAAGAAATTCAAAATGCATGACACCAATAACACCTACCTTACATTGCTGCAAAAATCATTGAACACCCCGGAATGCTTGGAATTTCAGTACATCATTAATTATATCATTTTGAATTTATTCAAAATCCGGGGGAGAATTTTCAATTGTAAGGTAGGATTCGATGTAGAATATAAGCTCGTCATGTTGAACCTTTCATTCTATATTGTTTATTTTTTTTTATTTCATAATAATAAAAAGAATTTATTCTTCTCTCATTTGAGAGTTTCTTGTTCGGTTGTAAAAAAAAAGAAAAGAAAAGAAAAGAGTTTTTTTGAAAAAAAGGAATAAAATTTTGATTTCATCCTCCTCAGACCAAAGGTAATTGCAAATTTTCTTAGGTCAGTCGGCCAAATGTAAGTACTTTATTTCTTATCTACTTTACTTTGTGCGTCATAGAGTTTTTATTGAGGATAATGTAAAATTTAGGTGTGGGGGTGGGAATTAGTTTTTTTCCTCTTTATTTTACCTTTTTAGTTGCATTTTTTGTCATTTTTCCTTCCTTTTTCTTCAAAAAAAATTTATCACTTGCCAAATTAATAGAGTTAATTAATAATTAATCTATTTGATTGATTTTAAAGTTTCTAATCCTTAGTTAGTTATTTACTCAAGTTTATCTTTTATGATAACTCTAAAATAAATTTCTTAAGAAATAATTTTCAGAATAATATCCTTTATTTAAGTCTTAAACTTAGACTTTTATTTAAAGTAATGAAATTTTTGCATGCTTAGCTTAGTGTTGAAAATAATTTTTTAAAGTGTCTTGATTTACATATTTTTCAAAAAATATATAAATAAAAAATATATATATATATATATATATATATATATATATATATATATATATATATATATATATATATATATATATATATATATTTAAAATCAAACTTTGGAAAAGAAGAGTGCGGAAAATAGGCACCAAAAGAAAAAAATTAAAAAAACTCTTAAATTCAAGGTGATTCTATCTTATAAAGCCTAAGTTGACTGAGTAATTAAGCCCAAAGAGTATTTCCATGCTTTATATATATATATATATTTAAAATCAAACTTTGGAAAAGAAGAGTGCGGAAAATAGGCACCAAAAGAAAAAAATTAAAAAAACTCTTAAATTCAAGGTGATTCTATCTTATAAAGCCTAAGTTGACTGAGTAATTAAGCCCAAAGAGTATTTCCATGCTTAATGACCTAAGCCCAATTGGGTTGGGATTCATTGGTCCAAAAATCGTTAAATGATCACTTAGAAAGCCCGATTAAATAGAAAAAAATCACCAAGAAATAAAGAGTGAAGGGAAAAAATGATAACACTAACCATTGTTTTTATATATATTGTTATATTTGTATATATGGTCTTGAAAAATAATTTTTGATCAAGAGACTTGAAAGTTATTTAAAACAAAGAGTTAGCATGTTCTTTTTAAAACTTTTAAATTAAAATAGAACTAACATGAGATATAACTAACGTGAGATGCAGTAGAACTAACATGAGATAGAACTAACATGAGATGCAAACATGCCATAGAACTAACGCGGTCTTTATTATAACTAGCTTGACCCAATTCTGAACTAACATGACACCAACTAAGACTAACATGACCCAAATAAGGACTAACTTGAATACGGCCAAAACTAACATGATTGCAGCTAGAACTAACATGGTGTAAACTAGAACTAACATGGTGTAAATTAGAACTAACATGGTATAAGTTAGAACTAACATGACATAAATTAGAACTAGAATAAACCAAAATAAGTAAAACATGGAACTTACACACAGTATTGTCATGCAACCTGGGACATATGTGACCTCTGGCTTCTTCTTGCCCTCCAAAGCAACTCCAATGCCCCTCATTATTTCTGAATAAAAGAATTGGGCCCATGCAACTCCTTTGATCCTCTCAATGCTATCCAGGTATCTGAGTACAGGTCTAGGGATACCTTCCCCGCTTCTGGGGCACCATATCATAGAGCATTGGTAAAGAATTTGCAGCAGAACAAAGTCTTGGATATCCTCTTTTTTTTGTAGATTCCACAAGCCTTTCCAGTTCCCCTTTCCAAGGTATATTCGATGGGTGATTGTTGTTTTTTTTTAACTTCTTCCCCTTTTCAGTTTTGAAAAGATTAGCGAAGTATTCCACCCAGATTTTGTTTCTTGAGTCCCGATTGATACTTATGACTTCCCCATATATTGAGAAATAAGTATGGTTATGGACCCATTATAAATCAAATTTAACACTTTTAACTCCCTCGGTTTTTGAATCAGGGATAGAAAATGTGTTATTATCACTATCATAATACCTCATCAGTAGTTCAAGTGTGGGGCGATCAGGCGCAGGAGCCCCAAATAATATATAGTGTTCAAATATAGCTCCGTGATATGCATCCCCTATGCCACTAATGAATCTTCGGGGCAATACGCCTCATGAATTCCCAATAAGCCTGGATATTGGCGGTTAGCCTTATTGATTCACCCGTGTTAGTATCAGCAACTTTTTTCCTGTAAAAAAAAATTGAATTTGCAAGTTCAATTAGACCTAACGTGGCAAAAATTAGACCTAACACTAACAGGTATCTAGAACTAACATGGACTCAAACTAGAACTAAAATGGATTGTGGTAAAACCTAACATTGTTTAAGATGAACTGAAATTAGGGAAAATTAGGCCGAGTCCCCAAATACTGGATAACATAGCACTTACTGCTTTTTTGGGGAGGGTTCGTTGGTACGACCAGCCCTTGTCGTTCTTCTTTTCCGATCTCGCTATTCTACTGCCTGCCTTTGCATTTCCATAAGGGTTTGAGTGGCTTCCTCCGTACTGCCAACCCCATATGAACCGTCTTTGTCCTTCGGCTCGCGGCGATAAATGACTTTGTAGTCGTTAATGGATTCTGCTTCACTGGACGATATTTTTCCGGCAAAAACCCAAGCACTGTTGAAATGCGATGAGAAATTTGAAAGTTCGAGAGTTTCGGTGGCTCCTCAGCAGTGGAAGAAAGGAGGAAGATGAAGAGGGTACTTGGGTAGGGAGGGGCGTAGTAACCTAGTTCAATCCCATCAAAAGGGCAAGTTTGTAACTTCCACTGGGTTTTTTGAAAAACGATACTTTGGAGTCTCGTCACAAATACTGTGTGTATTTGGAGCTTATCCATATGAGACATAATATAAGAGGCCTCGTCACATGAAGTTTCTATTTTTGGGGCATAGACACATTTTCCCCTAAAATTAAAGATGATTTCTAAAAAATGACTCCATCCAAGGAAAACCTAACTGTGAATGGCAAAAGTTTCCTGGACCATAAAAACATTTACCAAGTCTAGACCCGGCCCATCAAGAAAATATATATGGCGACGGAAAACTCGAGTGAAGCCTACAGATGCATATATAAAATCTCGTAGCCGCCAAGAAAAACCCTAACCCTAGCATTTTGATCTCCAGCGAGCTCGAGCAATGGAGGCGGCCAGGACTGTGAAAGACCTCTCACCTCATGATTTCGTGGCCGCGTATTCCGCCCATCTCAAGAGATCTGGAAAGGTTCGATTCTTCGATTCATTTCAATTTCCTCTTCTAGCCGTTGTATCAGTTTTGATCTTTAAGGGTTAGTGTTTATTTACTCTTCTATTTGCAATGTGTGATTTGTCATGAAAATGTTACCTATGCTGTTGATGGGAGATAAGTGCCTTCTTTGTTTTTTATTCTTGCAAATTGTGAATTTTTTTTTATCTTTTATAGTATATCAATCTAAAGTTTGCTACTTAAATTGGTTGAGTTCATTTAAGCAATGTGAAATAATGTAGAATTTAAGGCCATTCTTTACTCTAATAGTGCTGAACTTGATTTAATTAAAAAAATGCGGTGTCTTATTCGACATCTTTGGTTTCCTGATAATGAACAAAATAGAAATTCTCCTCTTATAGAATTCCCACTAGTGGTAATTTATTAGTGTTTGTTATATAACTTAGATATGATCTTGAAGGCCCATGAGTGTGTAGATAATGTGGCAGGCTTGTTGTATATTCTGTGGATATTTGATATGATCTCTCCATTGACAATGTGCGTCTTCATGTCAAATGGGTTTTATTAACTTAGTGCATTGTTGCTGCTATTCTTGTAGCATACATGCCTCACCCATCTTCAGTGAGCACACTACTGAGTTGTTAACTGTTTCATGATAGATCTTTTATTTGCCAATTGAATATTAGGTAAATTAATTTGGGATATTGTAGTCGTTAAATCATGAATGACTTTGAAGAGATGATCTTCTTCTGACATAAGTTTAAAGTAAATAGGAGTTAAAAAATAGCTATGTGATTATATTTTCTTTTTGATGTTGTTGATTTGATTATTAAAACCTCATTTGCGGTTATTTGGTTTCTTTTATAGATGGAACTACCTCAATGGACGGATATTGTGAAAACTGGGAGGTTTAAGGAGCTTGCTCCTTATGACCCTGACTGGTACTATATTAGAGCTGGTATGTTTCATACACCTTTTTACCACTTCATCATTCCTATGTCAATGCATACTGGTCTGTTTTTAATATTGATGTCGATATATTATTCTTAACTATGTTACAGCTTCAATGGCTAGAAAAATCTACATAAGGCAAGGTATTGGGGTTGGCGGCTTTCAGAAAATCTATGGAGGTCGCAAGAGGAATGGAAGCAGGCCTCCTCACTTCTGCAAAAGTAGTGGTGCTATAGCTCGCAACATCTTGCAACAGTTGCAGGCTATGAATATCATTGAAGTTGATCCAAGCGGGTGAGTTTTGAAGTCGTTTAGGTGTTCACAGTATCATAATATATGTCATTCTTTCATCTTGTTATTTCTTTTATTAATTTTGTGAGCACTCATTAACTTTTTCCTGGAAACAGTAAACTAAGTAAAAGAATGGCAAGTAACCTCTTCAGCTTTAGGATAGGTTCATTAGTTGGCTTTTGTATTCAGTAATCCTTTGTTGTATCAATTTCACACATTGAGGAGTTCATTATTTGATATTTGACTTTTGGTCTATATTTATCATACTGATGGACCTTGTTCACTTTATTTACGTTGGATGTTGATTGTTGACTAATTTTTTATTTTGTCTTTATGTTCGTATACTTATAGAACATTAGGTTACTGCTTCTTTTTGTAAAATGGCACATCTTAAGTTAATATATTTGCTAAATATTTATTGGTTTATCAAATGTTAATTTATAGGGGGGAATTAAGGCATTTTATACAATTCACATTGAAATGGCACATCTTAAGTTAATATATTTGCTAAATGTTTATTGGTATATCAAATGTTAATTTATAGGGGGGAATTATGACATTTTCTACAATTCACATTGTTAATTCAATAAAAAGATTGTTCACCTTATTTGTTTATTGCTTTTCTGTCCTGAATGCTTAGGGTTGAATGCATGAGTATATTAGGTTATCTGTTGCTTTTGGGGCTTGTTTGGTACATGGGCAAAGGGGGTTAAAGTTTACCCTGTTAAACATTATCCCATCTTTACCCATGTTTGTTATCCTTCTAAGACTTCACTAAGGATAAAGTTTAACCCCATATGAGGGTAAACTTTTAACCAAGTTAGTGAGCAGGAGAAAAAAGAGTGAAAAGTTGAGGATTTGTTTATTTAAGCATGTGGAATTGCAAAAGCCCCGTAAAAATTTCTAAAACTTACAAAGAGCACTCTAAAACTAAAAATTGACTCCCTCTTGTAAAGAAAATTGTAAACAACCCCCTCCCACAGCAGTTATAAAATTAGAATAACACCCTCAATAATGTAAAACTTAGTAAAAATCACAAAAAAGGGAAAAATTCAAAACTTAAAATATAGGAATATGGGAATATATGAATTACAAACAAGCCCCTAAGAACTATGAAATTGCAAAAACCACCCTCACATTTCAAATTTTACAAAAGCACCCTAAGAATTTCAATCCTACAAATAGTACACTGAAAATATAGGAATATAGGAATTACAAACAAGCCCCTGAGAATTATGAAATTTGCAAAAACCATCCTATAAGTTTTGAAATTGCAAAAGCACCCTCAGACTTCAAAACACAAAAAACACATTGAAAAATTCAAACCTATCAACAATATAATGACAACATCGGATCACAAACACCTCTGAAAATTTGAACTTTGTAGAAGTTTCAAAAATTGCAATAAACAACCCCGAAAATTAAAAATTTACAAAAACTTTCTGGAAAATTTCAGATATACAAACACTATACTGAAAATTTTTTAACTTTGAAATTTGCAAAAAACACCTTGAAAGTTTAGAAAATTGCAAGAAAACACCTTAAAGAATCGAAATTTACAAATTGTACTTGATTGTAAGTTTTGATCTTTTCAGGTGTTTTCTATACATTTTGAATCTTTTGAGGGTATTTTCATAATTTTTGAAACTTTTAGGGTGTTTTTTGCAAATTTTAAAACTTAGGGGATATTTGTAATCTTGTATTGTCAATGTATTTTTTTGTAGGATTGGAATATTTAGTGTGTTTTTTGTAATTTTGAAATTTTGAGGGTGTTGAAACATCTAGGGTATTTTCTACAAAGTTTGAATTGTGCACGAGGCTTTTTATATTTGTTAGATTTTTGAGGAGGTTGTAGGGTCGAAAAATTGAAGTGTGATTGATTCTCTTGTTTTAAGAAATGGGTTCGATCGCTTGGTACGAACCCTTACAATCGCTCACGTTCTCTCTCGATTACAGATGAAGAGAAGATTAATTTAACTTCTCTTTGTTTAACGTGGGTTTTTAGTATCGAAAGGATGCTTCTCTCGATGCTTGAGTCGAGATTGCCTCCCGTTGACGATCAGACCAAAATTGCTAGAGCTTCTCACGTTCGTTAGCCGGTTGGAATCGAGGTTCGAACTTCGGATCCGTACGCAGGAGCTTTGATCTCTGATGCTTTTTGGAGTCCAGGCCTAAAATCTCCAACCCCTTTTTCTGTAGCCATTCATGGCTATTTATAGGGTTTAAGCACGTAACTGACGTGCTAAGATCACGGGTAGAGGGGCGTAACTGCCTCCTCTAATTCAATGCACGCCGTAACGTACTCCTAAAGATTAGCCCACGTGGCTGATTAAGTCTTCAGAGCCGTTACAACTAAATCTCACGTGTATGACGAGCCTCGTTCTTAATTGAAACGGGGTTCGTCAAGTAAGTCGAACCTCAATACGCAACGATGTTCGTCTTACAAAGCAAACTTTGCAATAAACAAGCTTCTTCTGACGAATTTTGTCTTCACTGACTTCATCTGACAAACTTCATCTTCACTAACGAACTTCGTTGTCGATAGCTGGGTCCAACTGCGTAGTGACTTTCTCTTGGACTAACCTCGTCTCCACTGACAAGCCTCAAGTCTGACGATGAGCTTTGTCTTCACTGACAAACCTCGTCTCTCGAAAATGAATGTCGAACCTCGTTTTCACCAACGAGCTTTGCTGTTTGTTGTTGAGCTATACTGATCAGCAACCCGCGTTCTCGAGGTTGATCTTTACTAAACGATGAGCCTCGTCTCTGATTGAGACGAGGTTCGTTTTCCTGACCCTCCTTTTCACATTTCGAATTTTGGCATTTTTGAATGCCTACTGAGGTTGTTATAAATTTAATATTTTGAGGGTTTTTGTGTGTAATTTATGCATTTTTAGTTGAGACTCGTAGAGCATTTTGTGTTAAATTTTAACCCATCTGAAATGTTATACCAAACACATGAATGTGGCCCGCCCTGCTAGTTGTTCCTTGGTAACAATTACCATGTGTCCTAACCCCAATTGCTTTAACCTCTACCAAACGAGCCCTTAATGTCATTAATTTACTACATACTTGAAAATGCCCTAAGTTCTCATTTACTGGCTAAACCTCAATGCATTCATGCCCACATTTTATGTGCTCAACCACGCTTCTTTTTTAATGTAGTTGTTATATCTTTGTTTGCTACTTATTTGTTATATTTACTTTGTTCTGATACTTATTACCATCTGATGATTCCATAAACCCGAAGCATTAGAATTGAATTATGCTTACTTTATTCTGTGAATTTATACTTGTCTCCCTCTTCAGAGGGAGGAAAATTACTTCCCAGGGACGGCGCGATCTTGATCAAGTTGCTGGTCGGATTTTGGTTGCACCATGAGCTTCGACAGTTCCTGATATTAGTCCTTTTGAGAAGAGATCTATTGTTAGTTTAAGAGAGGTGTTTTTTGGCACTAAGGGTCTTTTCTGTTTTTCAAATGTAGCTCTCTGCTTGAAATTTTAATGTTACTCTGTGAAAACTATGTTTGCTTGTTATATCATTTGGAACTCCGCTTATAGCTTCAATATTTGCAATGACATGTGTTATCTTGGCCTCAGTGGGTATGTTTAACACTCTGATTTGTATTGGCAATGGAAGTTGTTATCTAAATTTTTTTAAAGGCATGTCAGTTGTTTATTTAATCAGAACATAAATCAGAATATATCAGTAAATATCACCGCTAGTATTTTTAACATGTTGGAGGCCTTGGTTAGTATATCTTTTGAGGTTCTGAGGAGGCGTCAAGAAATTTTGACGACGTAGCCGTTGATACCATTATTCTATGCAGTTTTTTTAATTAATGCGGCACTCAGTTCGGACACATATCCGTCAATTATTTTTGAAAATGTATAGTACCCCATAAAAAAGTGTTTTTTCATTCAACTTGTACATTTGATTGCAACTCAGACGTGATACAGCAGTTCATTGAAGAGTTTTTTTCGTTCAACTCGTACGTTTGATAGCAACTCAGACATGATACAGCAGTTCATGGAAGAATTTCTAGATCCCACGGTGGTCTCCCAATGTTCGTGGGGTTCTGCAAAAACCGCCGTCCTCAGGGAAGAAATGCAAAAATTGATGCTTTTGACAGCAATCCAAATCATACATACACATAAAGCCTCTCATTGAAAACTCAAAACACAAAGAAAACCAGTTGACTTTTTTTGGGATTGTCAGTACTCAGTGCCCATGATCAAAATCTTCCCAGTTAAGGAATCGCTAGATTCATCGACTTGGAAATATAAGCATCCAAGACAAATACAGATAATTGGATCGTTGAAATACGAAAAAAAGTGAACATTATCATATATACCAAATCATGTAAACAGACCTTATTCAGCAAAGCAAATTAACAAATGACAAACCATGATGACTTCATTGAATGGGCATAAAATGAAGTCTAGGCTCTTTAGGGGCTGTTCGGTTGCCTCTTTTTCTTTGGAAAGCAATGGGAAACAGTCAGAAAGTGAGTTCATGCTCAATTTTACACACTTTCGCGCTGGTTGGGTGCAGCTATACAACATGAAAGTATGCCTATGTAGCAGCCTCGAAGTTGATGTGGCATGGAAAATATAGACCCCGCAAAAACAAGCAATACGGGCTGAAAGCTGCAGGCCGTTAGTAAATAATAAAAAATAGGAAAAAAAGACCACCACCCGCCTGGATTGGGATCCTCTACTAATGGATCCTCTACTAATATCTACTAATAAAGAAATCTTAGCCTTTGATTTATTAATCAAAGGCCAAGATCTCATCCTTATCCTTCCCCTACTTTTGTTCATGAGAAAATCTTGGCCTTTGATTGATAAATCAAAGGCCTTTGATTGATAAATCAAAGGCCAAGATTCCATTAGAAGATATTAGAAAGTTCCTCATTAGTAGAGGATCTCAACCCTTTACTGCCTCTTTTCACTTTTCTCCCTAAACTTCTTCTTATTTTACTCTCACCTAATGATCCATGTCATTTGTTTGCATATTAGCTTGCTTCAATGTCCGATCTCATTGAACGAGACCAAATTCATAACTCCAATTTTGTAACTAATTTTTATTTCTAATTAATGAAAAGAATGACTTTTGAAGAAAATATGTGCAGTGATAGGTTCACCAACAAACCATAGTTAAGTTTCAGAAAATATCCTTAAGTTTTGACGTTTCTAGATAACCCACTCTAACTTTCAAAATGACAAAATACCCCTTAAGTTTTGGGTCCTCTTAAAACCCCCTTCAACTTCCAGCACTTTTCGGGGGAATAAAGAAAAACCCGTGTGTAGGCATATAAAATTGCTTATAGGTCCCTTAGCACAGCTCGGCACAAACCGACGAACCAACGAGGCGACGAATCGCACGCAAGCAACGAAATAAATCTATTCGCGTTCGGAATCAAGCCAAGTGTTGAAGAGTCAACGAGTCATCCAACCAAGAGCGGACTCGGACGAATCACGATCGAATCAAGATCAGTTTCGGACTCGAACTCAGAAGCAGATTTAATGCCAAATCAGAAGCGGATTTACTGCCAAATCAGATCAACAAAATCAGAATCTAAGTCAACCGAATCACGGACAGAACCGAGAAACGGATACAGCGCAAAGAAACGGAAAACAGCAAACCCAGAGGGGCTCGGCCAAAACCGAGCCGCCTCAAGGTGGCTCGGCCAAAGCCGAGCCACCCTGAGGTGGCTCGGTGGCCGAGCCACCTTGAGGTGGCCGGCCCAGAGCCGAGCCACCTCAAGGTGGCCGGCTGCACTGTGCCCAAGGCACAGTGAGGGTAGCCTATAAATAGGCCCCCTTTTGTTCATTTTCAAAGGTTGGCCTTTGGAGAGCCGAAACTCTGCCGGATTGAAGATCGAGCTTAGAGTTTTGAAGACTTGAAGACTTGGACATCCAGATCTGATCCTCGGCGAGCATCCACGTCACAAAAGGCAGGAGTTCGAGAGAGGGGAAGAACAGATCTGAGATCTACACGAGATCACACTCCGGATCTAAGCTTGGTCTTAGATCCCGAGATCCGAGCGATTATTTCCTTAGTGAACTAATCCCTCCCGGCTATTATTCCCTTCGTGGAATAATACCCGTCAAATCGTGTAGATCCGACCGGATCTAGATCGCGCGGTGGTCCACGGATTAACCCCGGCGTTGGCAAAAAACCCACAAAGCGAGCGACCGCAAACAGTCCGGATCTACCTCCCCCCGCAAGTCCAAGAAGTTCTCCTCCAGGAGAAAAGTTCGTTGGTTCGAAGAAGCTCGGAAAGCCAACGAAGCTCTCACCCCAGCTGACGCCAAAGTCGCGTCGGGTGAAGTTCTACCGACCTCCAACCAGGTCAACCCAACTCCCGCCAACACCTCCACTGTTGAAGGCGTTGTGGCTCTCTCAAAGAGAGCCCGCCAGCGGCGTCGTCAACGCCTTGCACGCTACCACGCGGAGTTGAAGAACAGAAGAGGCAAACAGCCTCAACCACCAATGAACGGCGACTCCTCCAAGCCGCCAAAGAATGAATGGGTCCGCGTCAAACGGAACCGTTCGACGCTTGAGGAGCGTATCCGCAAGCGCCGCGCGATGTCAGCACAGGCACGGGCTAAAGTCCAGGAAGCCCGTAGAAGACTGCAAAAGGAGGTGACGAAGAAGCCACCACCAACCCGCCAAGTCTGGAAGCCGAAGTCTGAAGTGGCGACTCAGGCCAAAAAGCAACCATCGCAGCCTTCTAAGAAAGGTCAAACTCCGGCG